AGTTTCCTGTCTCTGAGTGATGATGTCACCCCACTCACTATATAAACAACTCAGTCCAGTCTGACCTTGCCCTTGCAAGGTCTTACCTGCTAGTGCATTCCTGCTGCTCTGAGTATTCTGAGTCTGTGTATGACCCGATCCTGGCTGACGTTCTCCTCTGGTTCCTGCTCCTGACTGGTTCCTGACAACACTGATATCCGTGTTCCTGACCTGGCTTGTACAACTACCACTCTGGCTTCTACCTTGGCTTGTTCCTGTTTATGATTTTTGCTTGCTCCTGTGGACACTTTTCATAATAAAATATTTTTAACTAGCACCGTATCTGGTTTTCAATGTGCTCTGACAGGTGGCAACCTGACTCCTTCCATAGATACAGTAGAAGGGTGAAGATAGCCACCTAGGGACAGGAAGTGTGTAACTGACAGGATTACCAGGTGAAAATAAAGTAAAAAAAAGCCAGAGAAATGAAAACTAAAGCCATTGCACGTATTGACTCATAAGCTGCAATATATTAAATGTTTGGCCTTGGGTGTAGATATGCTTCAAGTTGGCAGTTTACAGTTTTGCATAACTTCCTTATTTCAGTTTAATAGCACACAGAATCTTCATTAAATACATTTGCAATGTATTAGCTTTATATAGTTAACTGTTTGACATTTTGTATGAATATAGTAGATCTTGTATTTTCATTTTGGCAAATGTTGGAAAGAGTATTGTGAGATGTATAAGTGTAAGGATGCTGGTCATAAGTTATCAAACTATAATATAATCTGAAGAAATGTTATGGTTATGCTATGCTAAGTGTGATCAAATTATTTGGTGGTCCAACATGCCTCTGCCTCTGGGAATCATGCCTGTAACTGTCAGTCTTGCAATGCCTTGTGGGACTTGTAGGTTCCACAACAGCTGGTCATTACTGACTTACCATGTCTTGATCTGCACTTTGTCGCTGTGTGAAGGCAGCCATCTTGGTAGAAGAACAGGGCTTTATTTCCTCGTGTCAGATCGTCCTGTCTGATTACTAGGGATATGATGAATTGTGAGGTAATATTTAAGAAACAGCAGGCGAGGTGCAAAAAACACAGATCCACATAATTAATTAAGTAGAAGCAGGAAGATCCTTGCAGGTCCTTAGGCACAGCTTCCTTTCCAGCAAGCAGCACAGTACTAACATCACCAACTCTTTCTCCAAATCTAGTGAGAGCAGTAGTCACTGCCAGTGCCTCTGACATAGCAGATATACAGCTAAAAGGCTGTAGGAACAAGAGTGTCATACGAAGCACACACTGGCATTTGTAAGAGAAATTTTTTTAAAAAGCTAGATTTTGCATGGTATCGCTTAGGCACACAATATTTCTAGATGTTACCTATACCATAGCAAATCTTTATTTGTTCAGTTCAGGTACACTTTACGTGCTATCCTATTTTGAAGAATCAGATCCAATGGGGTTGCATGTAATTGTGTATTTTTTGCAAAGTGAATTTTCACCACATTCACTAAGCTTCCATCTGCGGGTCCTCTGTTTTCAGAAAGTTTATGGTTAAATTAACTTAAAAGTCTATAATGCACATTTAATTTATACTGTCTGGGCCATGAGTACAAGAAGTGGGCTAGACTTCAGTGCAAACCAGTTAGATAATTCAGGAATGGGATTTAGAAATTGCTTGGCAAATTTTCTGATTGCTAATCTCCCCCTTGGTTTATTTCTGCAGGTAAAATAAGGCTTTTGGAATTACATAGTAATTAAGCCTATTACAGTTCACTTTCTGTGTTAAAATAAGAATCGGGTTGCCTAGATTCACTTGTAAAATCCAAGTGTACTTTTAATTGTAAGTGACATTTTATTAAGCGGCCATTGTTAGTGAAAGCTAACTGATTGCTTAGAGAAATTACATCAACATTAATTCCACAGAAAGAAAGGGTTTCCCTTTGACTTGTGTTGCTTTGTCAGAAGTAACGCTTATTTCAAAGTGATTGGTTTACAATGGTTTTGACTGCCAGCTCCTGGCAAAATAGTACCTAACTATATACTTTCCCCTAAAATAGTCCTGATTGGCTATTTAGCAGCTGCTGATTTAAAAGGACAGCTAATCCTACTCATTCTGCACTATAATTAGTAAAATATTAACAATAATTGTATAAATATGTCTCTTATTAGGATCTCTGCCATTTTCTGAGAAGGTGTTTATGGTGTTTAGTGAGCCTGTTCTCAAAGCTTGTTACTGATTATGGCTTAACCCTGTATAATCTAAAAAGAAGTGCCAGGCAGTGGCCTTGCAATTGTGGTGTTTGATATATGAGGCTATCAAGGAAGGAGCATTAACATTTTTTTCTTCGTTGCTGACTAAATGTACAGCACATTACCTTTATTTACCCTATCCTCCTTAAAAGGAATGTATAGTGGTGGGGTTTGTTTTTTTTTTTTTCTTGTGCATTATGGTAAGGGTTTAAAAAATGCAAAAAATATATATTTTTAGTCAGGTAAATATGTAATGTTTCATATGATTACTATATAGTATTGTATCCAGCCAGTAATGGGTCATTTTGGCTCCTTTTATAGCTCCCTCCACCTACCACATGTTGATAAATGCCTGTTGAACGCGAAGATGTATAAATGAATGTGAAATTTACAAACAAAATTGGATATCCTATCAGATGCTGTCATGATAGCGGCATCTGATGTTGCATGATGTCAGACACCTTGCATGCGCATTGGTGAGCTCCACACCTATATGAAACAGCAACCTATGCAAGTGCTGGTCTTGGGGTAGAGTTCGCAGCAACCCAGAGATGCTGCCCCCTAGCAAACCAGCACGTGCTAAACGGGTGTCCAATCATTCTCCCAGCAACCTTTGGGGCACGCCCTCCAGATGCCATATCGCAGGCAACCCGGGAGAGGCAAGCCAGGTGCCACACCCACCACTGTATCCACTGTGTGAGGCAGCCAACCCAGTGTCTCCACACAGTGAGGAAATCCTTCCTGCTAAGGTGCCCATCCATCCACCAGCAGCAGACAACCACACTGTCACCTAGTGGTCCACAAAAAGATGGCACTCTAGATTACAGATACACCATATAAATCAAGTGCAAATCTCTGCAATACATATATTAGCAGATTACTCATAACTAATTCTCTTCTACAGCTTAAATGATCTATGCAAACTATGTCATCAAACTCCATGTCCATATAGAGAAAACTTTATTATAATCCCAAAAACTATTCAAATTTTATTAAATAATCTTTAATGCTTGTTATACAATACAAATCTTCTACAACATCCATAGTTACATCACAGGAAGGATTTAAAGCTTAGCATATCATTCATGCCAGCATATTCGGTGACTTTTAATTAAAAAATCCAGCGTGCCTCACGCTGTTATAATTTTATCCCAATCACCAACGTGTACGAGTCCTCGTACACTCTTTCCAACGCTACAAAGATATTATAGTGGAGTCAGTATTGTGCATAAGGCCAGCATGTGTCTGAATAGGGCTTAGCAATTCACAATCCATTAGATATACGTGATCATAAATTCTATTTCTAAATTGTCTTTTGGTTTTCCCAATGTAGGATGCACCACACCTGCAGTTAATCAGATAAACAATTCCAGTGACTGAACAAGACATCTTATGGAGCACCCCATTCAGAAGAACCGTTTAATTTTCCTCTCTAACCCATAGGCAATACAAGCAGGGCCCACACTTAAATATGCCAGATTTCCTACAGATATTTCCTCCATCACCACTGTTATAATTAACTAATTTATCCTTTATGGAGGATAAATGTCAGAAATTTTGTTTCTGGATAGTTGCATACATACTTTTGCAGTGTATGATCACTGGTTAACAAGCACCAGTATTTATCTCATAAAGTATAAATGAACAAAGAGTCCCTCCGCACTCTTCACAACGCTCCCGGCCTATAGGAAAATGCTGCTTGCAGTGATGACCACGGATGGCGCCGTGCAGACACAGGAAAGTAGATAAGGATCACCAGCACTCAGCAATATCATTTAAATGTGTCCATTTTATTTGGACAAAGTCACAGTGAAAATAGTAAATGTTTCGTGGGCCACGCAGGGTCCCTTCATCAGGGCAAGAGGATGTGACCTATTTATCTCAGAACGCACAAATTTGTTGATCATTTTGAGAGAATTGTGTGATGAATTTAACTGTGCTTGTACATATTTATTTTTTCCCTTTTCAAGTTATAAATTCACTCTTTTTTGCCCCTTAGCTTTATGGTACACTTTTTTCAGTAATTTCTTGCTATACCTATGCATCTTCAACCTCATCTGTAAGCCTTTGCCTCCAGTTCAAAGTCATCTTCAACTGCGCAGTTCTTCCTTAGTCTCAGGAACTGACTATAAGGTATACTCAGGATTAGGGATGCAGGATTTGCACTGGTTGCCCTAACACTTTAAAATATAAAACAATAGACTAAAAACTGTAATAACATTGCCTTTAACAATCCAATGCCCCACCAGAGGGAAGGCTTGCTCAAGGCAGATTAAAAACCTGTTACCAGTGGGACTTTCAATTGTTGCTTGTCTTTTTCTCTTAGACAAGAGCCACTTACACCAAAAGCATGTGTTTGGACTGTGGGAGGAAACTTGAGTACCTGGAGGGAACCCTTCATGTAGGCATCTGTTTACATAAAAATATGCTAAATTATATTTTAAAATTCAACAGTGTCCGATGAAAGTAATCCTTAAAAATATATCTTATGGCATTCAATGTATTTAAACATGTTTTTCTTTCTCACAGATTACCAAGAAAATTCTACGTACTGTAGACAAGCCTTTAAATCAAATGACAACAAGATCTGCCAGTCAAACAGCGGTCCATGACTAAGAACATCCAAACTAATCTCAAGGAGAGTGCACATGTGGAATCAAGTGTCATGGGTCCAAATACAGATCTGACAGATCTGCACACGTAGATCAAGAAAATACATCTCATAGGTCTGTATATCTGCATGTGAAAGGGAGAATAAAAATGAGTATTCCACTGACTCCAAGCAAGGTGTGCTGCACTGACAGAGAGGACAACAGCAATGCTGAAAAAAATGATAATGAAAGTGTGGCCAGTTTAGGTGATACAAATGCCAATCAAATTTTCACAACAGAGACATATGGTGACAAAGATGAAATCAGCAGGGTGGACAAAACAGTCAGGCTTGGTACTTGGCAGTCAGAAAACTTCACGCAGTTGACCAAGGAACCCAATAGTCTGGTTGAAGGGAGCAATGACTACCCAACAAGTGAACAAATATTAAGTGATCAAAAGTTGCAGGCACCAACAAATCAAGAAATAAGCAAAGAATATATGACTGATAATGCTAAGGACAGTTTAAAAATCTTTAATATTCAAGGACAATCTCTAAATTTAAAAGTCAGCTTCTATGATAGAAGTTCCCAAATTCCAATCAGCAAAACAAATGAATCTTCTATAGGTGTTTATAGTAATACTTTTGGAAACGTAACCCAGGGTGAACGTTCTAAGGTAAAATCAGGTATTCCCTCACCTAAATTAGAGCCTTTTCTAAAAGAACATATCTCACCTACTTCACCCTCTAGATACTCGCAATACTTTGATACTTCGAGTTGTGGTATTAGGACAACAGACATATCTGCTTCGACTGACCATTTTTTGAAAATATCCTCTCATATTCTCAGTAATACCTCAGAAGAGAAGAAGATTGTAATTTATTCTAAAACACCTACCTCAAGCATTACTGTCCCCGACTCGTCAATGATTGATGGAACCGTAACCCATGTTAACAAGCAAAGCACATTGACACATCCTACTCATGCAGATGACCACTTTCGTTTAACCTACAAACCTCAGGTATTTTGTAACGTACCAGAAGCACAACTATATCAGGGTCCAACCAACAAACCATCAGAACTACCAGACTCAAAAAGTTTGCAGTCAAAGCTGCCTTCCCCACACAGATTAGAACAGATATCCCTGGGAGAGGCAGCTGTATCAAAAAGAGTGGACAGCATGTTTGAAAGCAGAAGATCGCCTCTGTCTTCTCCATGTGGTCAGGGAGCTGTTCCTCATACAAGCAAAATGGTTAAGCCGCCAGGGACATTTCTATCAACTAGCCCTTCCAATACAAGGCAACACGATTTTCAGGCTGATATACCGTTTAGTGAAACAAAAGTGCCATTCTCTCAGGTCTGTAATATTCAAACTGGCCATGTTCAAGTACCGGAGTCCTTAAGAAACAAAGAGTTGAGCAGCAAGCCCGTGATCAGAAAAACAACATCACTCACAGATTCTCTGGATAATAAGATCAGCATGAATAAAGACAGGCATTCTGCACAAGATTATCTCTGTCAGGACAGTGACAATTTTCTTTCAAGCAGCAACGTGATGACTTTGAAGGATAAAATTGCTGTGGTTGACAGTAAAAAGGCTTCCCTTGGACGAAAACATCAGTCAGATGTTTTAAAAGGCAGTCTAAAAGATAGTCACAGGGACCCAACTGATTTTGTTTCATGTACTCCTTCTCCTTCTTGCCCAGTGGCGGCTGTTAATATTAATGATCAGCGCGTTGCCTCACCGAGCAGCTTTAAGGATCCTAGCACAGCTCATGTTGACAGATTGTCACCTTCCCCAGTGCTACCTCCTATTGAGAGTACACAGTTGTTCAACATATCCCCTAAAGCTACGAACAAGACTGTTTGTAACAGTGGAATACCGAAACCCATACTGGTACTTTCCAAACCTTCCATTATCAGCCAGGCAGAAACAGAAATAAATTATAATATAAAGCCAGAGGAAACAATTGAACAAACGCTAATTTTTCCGAAACCTAAAAATGTACGCCCTAAAATCATCACATATATCAGAAGGAACCCACAAGCAGTTGATAGACTGCCATTTGGACAGATGAACATGCCATATGGACCTCCAGTATGTAGTGTTCCAATACCAAAGGAGCATGATATCCTGAGTAGTGATGTTAAACCCACCAATGTGTTGCTGGATAAATACAAAACCGATGTACACAAACCACGAATATACAGCACTGGTTTGATGGTTTCTGGCATAAGACCTCCTGGGCATCATTCTCTAGAAGAGGTAAGAGGTTGTTCACATAGGTTGGCACTTGAAAGACATGTCCTCTCAAAGTACTGTTTTCGTTTTGGTTAGAAGTAGATGATAGAAAATAAATAATTTTTTTTCCCCTGTCCATTTTTGAAATTTTTGAGCCCATCAACTTTAATGAGCTTTATGGCTTGTTTACACCAAATCTGGACCAGATCTGCATAAGTATCTGCATATGCAGTGCAGTGCGTTTTGCCACGTTTTTTTTACACGTTTTTGACGCGTTCCAGTCCGGGGTTTTTTTTTTTTAGCCTAAAATGGGCTTTTAGGTGCAGTCCAGTGTGTTCCAGGGTATTTGCATGCATTTATTATGCATTTGCATGCATGTTGGTTTGTTCCAGAGCAGAAGAAATAGGCCATGCTGCAGTTTTTCCACATGCTCTGGTACTGAACGCTGTGGTGTGAACTAGAGCCGAAAATACTATTGGAATACATTGGATGAATTTTTGATGCATTCTGTAACTGCTCTGCTCTGCATCTACTCTGAAATTGGTGTGAACAAGGCCTGATACTTTTTAATGATAAAGTATAGCTTTTTAGAACAATTATGCTTTGGCTGTATATTATAACACTTTAATTTATTCTTACAACATCCATTGTTCTCCTTCTCCCAGACTGATTTTGAAATTTCGGCTGCTGTGCAGGGTATGATTGACATTTATTAAATAAACAAGTGCTAAAAATAATTGCCCATAGCAGAGTTAAAAATAAATATACAACATACAGTATATGTAGATTATAGCAGATTATAGTATGTAAGGAATTATGTACTTCATCTGCTCTGCTACTTGCAGATATTATTTCTGAATACAGACATTTGTTCAGCTTCTTTGCCTAATGGGTTCTTGTTATTACCAACCTGCAGGGTCCTCAGATAATGAATCAGATATTTTTTGCATATTCAGATGTTAATCTTGGATTTTTTCCAAATATTTCAGTGTGTAATTCAAAGCTGCTCTTAATGAGAGATGTGTTATTATTCTTTTATACATATAGTATATAATAAGTAAAATTGGTACTGTGCATCCTTTTATATGGATATCTGCATCATTGGGAACTATGAAATGATGTAGAGAAATTAAGCGATTCTGCATGCATTTGTTCCAATTTTATTTCAGTAGCCCTGTTGTTAGCAATAGGGGTTGATTCGCTAAAAGCAAATGGGCTGTTCACTTTGCAAGGAAATTTGCCGTAAGCTTAGTGATTGAGGTGAAGCTCTGCTGGCTTCCACTATCCATTCTTGTGCAAGTAAAAATAATGTTTTTCATTTCTCCTGATTGGGAATTCTTTGCGAAGTGAATGTTCACCACATTCACTAAACTGAGGAAAAATTCCCTTGCAAAGTGAACAGCCTTTTTAACTTTACAACTCTATCTCTACTCTTGGAAAAAGGCAGCCCAGTCCTTGGATGTACTTTAAAGCTTTATTGAAGGAATGGCAGGGCTGGATTTCTAGGCAGACCACCTAGGCACTTGGTGCCCAATTAGTGTTGTCCCTAGCCTTTTTGCCATCTGAGGGGATAGGGGAGGGGGGTGGGGGTGGTGGTTGAGTTATGCTGCCCTCCTCACACAGGTCAGTGTCCCGCCCAGCTCCTGGCAACCAGTAATGTCAGAGTGTCCCAAGTTGCTAAGAGTTAAGCAGGGAGATGTGTATGGCTCTTACCCACCTGGCTCTTGGCAACCTGGCATGCTCTGGTCGACATGCTGGGTCCCTCCCACAGCTCTGCTCTCTGCACAAGGCTACACAATGATGATGTCACTTCTACTATTACAAGCTAATATCTGGGTTTGCGCACAATATCTGGTGCACACAAAGTGGATTTATTTCCTTTGTGAATATTGAGGAATATATTCCTCAAGTAAAACATTTTTAGCTGGAGTTAGGTTTTAAAATGTAGTTTTCCATTGTGTGGAGGTAAAAGCATCAAGTCCTATCTAAATCAAAAAACAAACATGTAATATACTGCAAAGTAGCAGTCCTTAGATGTGGTGGTTGCATTAGTTTTAGTTTTTCAGGCTAAGAACATTTATATTAAGTTTACTAAATACCTGTTGATCTTTCCAGAAATGCAGCGTCCTTGTTATATCTTGTAGTGAAGCACCCTTTAATCTGCTACAGTATATCAAATTCCTTGTGTATAAAAATGAGAGCTTAATGACATAATTTAGGCATCTTAATTCTCCAGTATTGCAAAAGAACTTGTAAAACAAATAACTTGGTCCATATTTATTTAACTGCAAGCAGACCGCAGCAAGCTAAAGCAAAAAGCAAAAAATCCTCCATTTAAAAAAGCAATGTTTTGAGCCGTGGTATAGCATGTTTTTCCAAGCATGGAGTACCAAGGCTGAAGAAAGATCCTGTCTGACAGCTTTAAACATCGCTCTTTGATATGGAGGATTTTTCGCTTTATCATGCTGCCTTCTTGCACTTTCATAAAAGAGCTATATGGACTGAGATATTTGATTTACTTGCTCTTTGTGTAGATGACTTTTGCAATAATGCAGCATCCTTGTAACTTCCTGTAAGGTGAACCCGAAAAGGGCAGTGAATGGTTCTTTGACTGATGGTCAAGCTTCCCTTTGCCAGTCCTCTTGCAAAGCAGACTGAAGTAGCTTGCACACAACAGAGGTTCCTGTGTTTTCTCTTCATCAGGTGTATGACTGCAGCAATCAGACCAGTGATGGTACTAGGGGAAGTTTTTCGTAACCAGGGTGGTGTGGGAGGGTGCCTTCTGGCTTTCTCCGGGTTCTTCGAAATTTTAGCCAGCACTATGGAAACGAATGATGCTATTCCAGGTGGGATGGGATCCATTCAAAAAAGTTCTTCTCCATCCAAGCCTGCTTTGTCTCTCACCTTCTGCGATGCTGCACACAGCTGTGGCTCCTGATATTAAAGGGGGGTTTCTGATGTGAAAAGGGGGTCCTGATGTAAAGGGAAAGCTGTGAAGGTGAGCTTCTGATGTTAAAGGAGGGGGGTGCTGATGTGAAAAGAGAAGGGCTCTGGTGTTAAGTGAAGGCTCCTGACTTAAAGCTGACCTTTACCCCCTTTCACTAAAAATCACATCAGCATGCAGCTTCGCATGCTGATTTAAAATCATCTCACATTCATTAGTTAAACAAACTTGTTTTTCATTTACTTACAAATAGAGTTCAGCTACCTCCTGGTCCACTTCTGGCAAAATTGATGTAAGTGCCAAAGCGTTGCATCCTGGGAAGGTTACATCAGCAGAGCATTCCTGGGAAATCTCATCTGTAATCTCGCGAGATCTCAGGGAAAGGTATTTTCCTCCCCTGAGATGATGTACATGGCCACGTGTCCTAGCCACATGTTTAGTCACATGTGCCAGATTTTCAGGAGGTAAAGGGAAAATTAGTAATCTGCCCTTAGTTAACATGGCCACTTCCAGAAGACTTGGAAAGAAAAGAGAAATAAGGAATGCAAAGAATACAAAGCCGGCAATTATCTAGCAGTATGTGTTTGTAGCTTGTCATTACTAAACATTTCTAAAGGTGTGTATGTTGTTATTTTAAAAATATGGGTAAAAGTCCACTTTAAGGGGTGACTCTAAAGTGATTAGAGAACCTCATCTTTTGTTGCGGGGTCTCTGCTGAAAATCCATACCAGACCCCTATCTGGGATAAGGGTCTGCTATGGATTTTGGAGGGGCAACACTTTTTTTACGTTTATGTTTTTTTTTTACATTTTTGATTGGGTTGCCTCAAGATTTGCATATTTTTTAGAGTGTAGTGACTGAAAAATGTTGAAAAAATGCTAGAGTGACACCATTTGTCTCAAGCTCTATCACCCTCAGCATAAATAGCATGGTTAGGTCCAAAAGAATCAAAGAACTCTTACTGATCCTATACTCATTTCAAAACCTCAGAATCCAAAAGAGCCTTGCACAATCTTGCTCATCATATTGTTTAAGTCTGTTTCAACCCAATGATGACCAACTCCTTAGGAATTGGCTATTAAACAAATGTACCTCTGGATATCTCCACTGAATCTGGCATGGAACTCAGGAGTTAAATTGGCATGGGACTCATACAACCTGGGAAACCCCTGTTTACAGCACTCGTCAAATAAATATTTTTGAAATTCAATACTCTGTTATTCTTAATTTAATTACGGTTAAAACGACATTAAAGTCTAATTTTTCTACATACAGTATATCTTTTTTTTAACAGGTATACATACAGTATATCTACTGCTAGCAACCAGTAGATATATGCAAACACATTTTAAAAAATGACCAAATATGTAAAAAGTTACCTCTGTCTCCGCCACTCGCTCCGGGCTGTAGAACCATAGCTTCTTGAGTGGCCATGCAGTGGGATGTGTGCTGGTGCATGCGCAGTGGAGATCACCGGCAGGGAGATCACCGGCAGGGAGATCACCGGCAGGGAGAAGAGGAGACAAACACTTTGGGGTTAATTTACTAACCTTATAAACACGCCACGAACAAGTATACACCTCTATAGTGTGTTCCCTCCCAGCATGATCTATTGGTGGAATCTAGACACCTTTGTAGTGTGTACACACCCAGCAGGTGTGTTGTGCATGAATTGCAAGGTGATGTTGTGTAAATTAGCTCTATGTTGTGTTGCTTCCGTTGATGAATGCAGGAATGTAAATGCATGAGCTAATCATTTTTGTCTAAACTGTGAAGCAGCATTATATATGCATCATGTGCATGATTTTTCCATATATGGCATTCGTGGAAATATGCTTTTAGAGACTTTTTGGTTGATAAATACGTTTTGCTGTGTGAAAATCACACGCACCTGGTGCGTGCGTGTGTTTCGGTTAGTAAATCAGCCCCTTTAAGTCAATGCACGCAGCCAGGAGCGTGCACTCAGACAGATTCCATGGGACAGGAAGAAACAGCAGTCTGCGCTGAATCAGAGACCGGCACCATCGCTGGAGGGACTGCTGAAAACTACTGGAGAGAAGATCGGATCAAGAGGCATCAC